TGACAGGTAGAGTGGAATTGTGTATTTGGAAACTTAGGTGCCCTCTTTCTTTGTCCCCAGTCTGTAATTTCAGGTGTCTATTGGATGAATGAAACTCCAAAGACACAGGTCAACATATCCAAAAAATTGGCCTGAGGAAAGTTGAAAGAACTACAAAGTTTAAATAACATTTGATGACCAATGTGTTTTTACAAGCCCTCTGGGTTCAGTGGAAGGTGCAAATTTAATTAATTAAATTAATATTCATTGTGAAGCAAAATTTCATCAAGCATATTATCTCCATTTCCTGCCCTTCTAGGCCTCATAAAACCTCAAACCAGAGGATAATTATAACTTCCATGGATTGTAATTACAGTGTTTTGGTGGTCAGATCACCTGCATTCAGAGTGCTACAAGGTGGAAAGTGTTCTTTATGCCACAACAATTCACTATTACAGAGAGTCAACGCTACACAAAGAAACTGTCTTGAAAACAAAACAAAACAAACCCAAAAACAGCTCAGAGTCAGTGTGCCTGCCATAAACCCTGACCACCCAGGGTCAGTTCCCCCAGAACACATGTGGAGAGTATTGACTCCCACACACGTTGTTCCCGGATCTCCATGAGCATCCTGTGGCACACACACACACACACACACAACTGAACACACACAAGGAACACAAAAACTATCAGAAGGAAGCTTAGTCACTGCCCTCCTGGTTACGTACACAATTTAGCACTGTTGCTAAACTGTTAATGTGAGTGACTGTTATAAGAACTGAATACAGGTGGGCCACACGTCTGTAATCCCAGCACTTGGAAGGCAAAGGCAAGAGGCTGGTGGCTATCACACACACTGTGCCCACTCTTCCTTTGTGCTGCATGTTTGGGTACAATATCTGGAACATCGGGAGGGTGGTGACTGTATCAAGAAGAGGAGGGAGGAGGAAAATTTTGAGTGTCACAAGGAGAGGAGGTCATTTGACCTAGTGTAGGATAGGCCTGGCCGGAACAAACCCATGAACTATTTGGGTGTCTTCACGGGTATCTTCATGGGCTTTGTCTTGTTAGTTCGAGAGCATGCTGATGACACAGCCGTCCTTATAGGCTGGTGGTCTTGTGCTGTGAGGCTGTGTCAGGCTTTCTGGAACACAAGGCTAGACAGTATCTCTAAGATGTGAGCATAGCTACTGCTTTTCTTCTCTCACAATGCAGGACTTAACAGAGGTGCACCAATATTCAGGAGCTGGCAGTAATGGTCAATGAAGCTGCCTTCCATTTGCTTTATCTCTGATTCTGCAGGGTCACCTGGCCTTGCTGAGACCTAAGTGGCTGGCACAATCTAATCTGAAATGTTTTGATTCAGTAGAATAAAGGTTTTTTGAGACAGGACCTCATGCAGCCCATGAGTACATTAGATAATGAGGATGACCTTAAACTTTAGCTCTTCTTGCATCCACTTCCACGTGCTGGCAACACAGGTATGTGACAACTTATTTTTATTATGTATACAGTGCTCTGCCTGCATGTTTCATGTTTGCCTGCATGACAGATTTGCATCAGATCTTATTATAGATGGCATGAGCCACCATGTGGTTGCTGGGAACTGAACTCAGTACCTCTGGAAGAGCAGTCAATGCTCTTAACCTCTGAGCCATCACTCCAGCCCTGTTTTGGGGTTTTGTTTCTTTGTTTTTAAAAACAGGGTTTTTCTGTAACAGCTCTGGCTGTCCTGTACCTTGCTTTGTAGACCAGGCTGGCTTCAAACTCACAGAGATCCGCCTGCTTCTGCCTCCCAAGTGCTGGAACTAAAAGGTGTGCACCACTACCACCCATCATGCTGGTTTTTAATGTAGTGTTGGGGACAGAACAACAAATGTTAGGTGCACACACTGAGCCATATTCCCAGGCCCACATAAAGATTTTATTTTGCTCTCCCCCTAAATAAAGATTTAAAAATTATCATCTTCATGTTGGGCATGGTGGCCATGATACTCTTTTAGAGTTTTTGTATATAGCTCTGGCTGGCCTCGAACTCTCTAGCACAGGCTGGCCTTGAACCTGCAGTGATTCTCGTTAAGTTCTGAGTGTTGGAATTATATACACCAACTGCCATTCCAGCTTATTCCTTTTGTTTGCTATTAAATGTGAAGATAAACACTTTTCTAAAAAGTATTACAACTTCCTATGGTATGCTGATCAGGTATTTCAGTCTCAACAACTTTTGTCTTTCAGGCTATAACCCTTGGGTGACTTTACAGATTCATGTGCTTTGTGTTTCCTTATTTTGAGACAGGCTCTCTCTTTGTATCCCTGGCTGGCCTGGCCAGTTGTTCTCTGATCTCCATGTGCATGGTGTACACACACACACACACACACACACACACACACACACACATACACACACACACGCGCACACACACGCACACACCTGTAAAAGGTCAAAACAAAGCAGAATTAATATGATAATGTAAGGATCTGTGAAAGAAGAGAAATTGCTGGAGTCATTTTATCAGATTAGTGTGGATGAGAAAACAAGGATATTATGTTTGTAGGCAGTTGTAATATCTAAGCCAGATGAAACAAATTCTGACTATAAGAATTCAAAGCCAGACCTGGTCTACAAGAGTGAGTTCCAGGACAGTCTCCAAAGCCACAGAAAAACCCTGTCTCAAAAAAAAAAAAAAAAAAAACAAAAAAAACCCAAAAAAACAATAAAACCCCCAAAACCCAAGTAATATTGATAATAGTAATAATAAAACAGTAATGATGAAATAAAAAAGACAAGAGAGACAGTAGCTAGGAGGGGTGTTAAAGGATATAGCTAGATGTCCTCAAGGAAGCTATGGAGGGGTTAGGGGAGCAGCTCAGTGGTAGAGCAGTTGGTATTTTGAATTTCAAAGTATGAGGAAAGACTAGGAATTTTGTTTTGTTTTTTATTTTTTGAGAATTTGGTCTGTAGACCAGGCTGACCTCGAACGTACAGAGATCTGTCTGTTTCTGGCTCCTGAGTGCTGGGATTAAAGGAATGCAGCACCATCTGGCAACTGGGAGTTTTCTTATGAACATATGTATTTGTGGGCACATGTGTACATGAGCATGCATATTTGTGGGCACGTGTTAATGGATATATGTAGTCGTCAGGACAATTGGCTTGCAAGAATTGACTCATTTCACCACGTGGGTCTGAGTGATTGAACTCAAATCATGAAGCTTTGCAGTAGGACCCTGTATGTGATTAACCATCTTGCTGGCCCAACACTGGGGGGCATGGGGACTTTGAAGGAAAAGGGGTACTGCCAACTGGTAGTTTTCATATTGATACTTATCAATACCTTAATATTGTAAAAAATGTAGATTTTGTGGAGCTGAGGGTTGAATCTAAGGCCTCAAAGTATTAAAGGGCTTGCAAGTTAGGCAAGCACATTATTATTACTGAGTCATATCCTCAACCCTGCATAAGTCTTTTATCTGACAGGGTCTCACTATGTGGCTCTTGATGGCCTGGCACTCATTATATAGACCAGGCTGGCCTCCAGTTCACAGAAATCCACCTACCTTTGCCCCTTGAGTGCTGAGGTTATAGCACATCCAACCTAATATATATACTATTGTATCTTTTGCTTTTTGAAACAGGGTCTAAGTAGCCCTGGCTGACTTGGAATATGATATGTAAATGATGCAGGCTTTGAGGCTCCAATTTTAACTGCCTATATTTTGGGATCACAGAGCATCATCCCACCCAATTTATTTATTTTTTTTTGACACAGGGTTTCTTTATGTAGCCCTCGATGTCCTGGAATTCTCTATGTAGACCAGGCTGGGCTCCCAACTCACATAGATAAAGCTACCTCTGCCTCCCAAGAGCTGGGATTAAAGTTGCTTGAACCATCCCTGGCTCTCAGCTAACTAGTTTTTAAACTCCCTTATCTGTTCATAAAGTGTTAAGTAGAGGGCATAAAAAATATATCTCAGTCGACCTAGTGGTTGCATGCCTTTAATCCCAGAATTTGGGAGACAAAGGAAGGCAGATCTTGAATTTTGAGGCCAGTCTGGTCTAAAGAGTAAGTTCCAGGACAGCCAAGGCTACAAAGAAAATCTCAAAAAACAAAAAATCAAAAAAACAAAAAACAAAAACAGAAAAACTCATGTTCCTCTCCCATGATTTGTGTTTGTAAATTACTACTGTATACAAACATGCAGTTGTAATCCATCTCTCACTTTATATTGGAATTAAACTAGCCTTCTCCATGTCAGGCATGCTATAACCCTAAAGGCTATGTCCTCGGCTCTCTAGTACAGTTTGCAGTTTGGACAAAGATTGTATTTTCTCAAGCCTAATGGCAAGTTTTATAGTACAACAAACTTGTGTTTCTATGGGCTATTTTTGCTGTTTTTTTTTTTTTTCTTTTTTTACGTTTCATGTAGCCCAAGCTGCTTCTAACTGAACGTAGTTGCTAATGTAGAGATAAACTTGAACCCCTGATCATTATACTTGCCACTTTCCAAGTGATGGCCTCACTTGTGTTTGCCATCCTGCTAGCCTCCGCTGGGATTTCAATGAAGTAAAAATCTTTGAATTAAACTCTGTGGGATTTTGCTTCATTGGCCCGGCACAGATTAGAGTCAGACAGCAGGTACTCAATTTATAACTTTGAACCAGTGAACATGTTTTTCTGGACAAGTATAGCGACTGCTCAAAGAATAGAAGAAACAAAAAGAAAAAGCTCTTTCTTCCTATAGGCAGCTGTTGGGCCCTGGATATTTGATTTCACGGGAAAGTTGCAAGACATGCCCATTCAAATTTCTTCCAACAAATCACAGAGGCGCATAGACAACTCTTCCTCCCTTCATAGGTCAAATGGAAACCTCCGCCCCTTCTTCCCTCCCGCTTCTCTCTAAGGAGCCAATAGGGAAAATTTAGGTTTCATCATCAAGTTCTACACTTGCTATTGGCTGACAGATCTGTCAATCTAGGGAAGGCGGGCCAGGCCGAACTGGCGTATTTAAGAAGAGGACAAAGGCGGCGCGCAGCTTGTGTCGTCCGCCATTTTGTACGAAGCAAGGTGGCATCCACGTTCCCCGAGCAACTTCTCCGCTTCTGCCTCAACCGCCCCTTGACTGCAGCTATGTCTCGGGATCGGTTCCGGAGTCGCGGCGGTGGCGGTGGCGGCTTTCATCGGCGTGGAGGAGGCGGTGGCCGCGGCGGCCTCCATGACTTCCGCTCTCCGCCGCCTGGCATGGGCCTCAACCAGAACCGCGGCCCCATGGGCCCGGGCCCTGGCGGCCCGAAGCCACCGATCCCACCTCCGCCTCCTCACCAGCAGCCGCCGCAGCAGCCTCCGCCGCAGCAGCCTCCGCCACAGCAGCCCCCACCGCATCAGCAGCCGCCGCCACACCAGCCTCCCCATCAGCAGCCCCCGCCTCCGCCGCAGGACTCGTCCAAGCCCGTCGTCCCCCAAGGCCCCGGCTCTGCGTCCGGAGTGAGCACTGCGCCGCCGCCCGCCGGCTCAGCCCCGCCCGCCAATCCCCCGACCACGGGCGCCCCGCCGGGTCCCGGGCCCACTCCGACGCCGCCACCCGCCGTCTCCTCCACCACCCCCGGCCCGCCGCCGCCCTCGACGCCGAGCAGCGGAGTCTCGACGACCCCGCCACAGACCGGTGGACCTCCGCCTCCACCCGCCGGCGCCACCGGCCCAGGGCCTAAGCAAGGCCCAGGCCCGGGCCCGGGCGGTCCGAAAGGCGGCAAGATGCCCGGCGGGCCTAAGCCAGGAGGCGGCCCGGGCATGGGCGCTCCCGGCGGCCACCCGAAGCCACCTCACCGAGGTGGCGGGGAGCCCCGCGGGGGCCGCCAGCACCACCCGCCCTACCACCAGCAGCACCACCAGGGACCCCCTCCCGGCGGGCCCGCACCCCGCACGGAAGAGAAGATATCCGACTCGGAGGTGAGTAGGTGCACGAGCGAGCTGTCCGTTCCTCTAAGATGGCGGCGCCTTCCTACTCTCGGCTTTTTCCCCCCCGCCCGCGGTAGCGCAGGCCTCCATTTTGTCGCCTGCCGGAAGCGCGCCTGCGCATGCTCGCAAAGGCGGGGCTGACGCCTGGCGGGGAGAGTAGTTGGCTAGGGATTGGCTTTCCAGCAGGAGGACTCTTTGGGAGGCGAGCTGTTGGCTCGGCGGGGGCTACTGGAAGCTGGCAGTCCCGTGCGACCGAGCTGGTGCATTTCAGTGCTGTTGGAGAGGATAGGGCAGTTTAGTGCGGTTCCCGTCTTCGTTTTATCCATTTGGATCCATTCGTTGACGTCAGCATATTGTAGATTGGCATTCGCTGATGAAGGCGGGTGTGTTTAAAGCACTTTGTAAGATCACGGCTTTCTGATGTTGATTTAGTTGATCCTGTTGGATCCCCAAATATGGTACAACTTGGTAGTGTCTGTATGGGGGGAAAATCGTCACTTAGGGGTGATGTGTGGCCCATTTGTGACAGCCCGAATTGGTTTTGTTTTGTTTTCTGCTTTGGTGTCTGAATTACAGTTTCTTCATTAGGGATTTAAAGCCAACTTGTCTCTCTTGCGGAGGCCTGGAGAAAAAACTTACACACAGCGCTGTCGTTTGTTTGTGGGGAACCTACCTGCTGATATCACAGAGGATGAATTCAAAAGACTGTTTGCTAAATACGGAGAACCCGGAGAAGTTTTTATCAACAAAGGCAAAGGGTTCGGGTTCATTAAACTTGTGAGTGTATTTGGTTGATTTTCTTTTTTTAAATATACACGTACATAATAGGGAAGTGTTTGGGTTTCCTTTTTCTTCTGTAAAGTCTTGAAGGCTTGGTTTAAAATGGGGAAAAATTATTTTTTTTCTTCCCATCATCGATGCAGATCGGTATAGTTTGTATTGGGGCAGAGTTGCAAAGACATGTTGGGAGGGTCTGCGTGCTTAAATTGAACTATAGGAATAGGAAGGGGCATGAATGACAAACTGGACGTTAGCTAAATTTGGGGTTGTTTAAAATGTTTCTCATATTTACAGGAATCTAGAGCCTTGGCTGAGATAGCCAAAGCTGAGCTTGATGATACTCCCATGAGAGGTAGGCAGCTTCGGGTTCGCTTTGCCACACATGCTGCAGCCCTTTCTGTTCGGAATCTTTCGCCCTATGTTTCTAATGAACTGTTGGAAGAGGCTTTTAGCCAGTTTGGTCCTATTGAAAGGGCTGTTGTAATTGTGGATGATCGTGGAAGATCTACAGGGAAAGGCATTGTTGAATTTGCTTCAAAGCCAGCAGCAAGAAAAGCATTTGAAAGATGCAGTGAAGGTGTTTTCCTTTTGACAACGTAAGTTGTCTTTTGTTTCTGATAAATTTATAATTTAGAGGGGATATTTACTATAAAGGTAGAAGGAAATTAAGGTGAGGAATCATTTCTGTTACTAGGACTCCTCGCCCAGTCATTGTGGAACCTCTTGAACAGTTAGATGACGAAGACGGTCTTCCTGAAAAACTGGCTCAGAAGAATCCAATGTACCAAAAGTAAGATTAAGCTTTTTGGGGCTCTAAAAGACAAGTTAGTAATTTTATAGAAGTTAAGAAATTTTTAGTCTGGTATATCTGGATCTGGAATTCCATTATGTAGGCCAGGCTGACCAAATCCTGACTTCTATCTCCCAAGTGCGGGGGGGATTGTGAACCATCAAGCCAGGTTTTATGAACATGTTTTACAGTATTGGTTAAATATACTTAATACACATCTGTTGCACAGACAGAATGTTTTGGGTTTGTGGAAAAAGGTTTCTCTGTAGCCATGACTATCTTGAAACTTGATTTGTAAATGACCAGACTGGCTTCAAACCCAGGTATCGACCTGGCTTCAGGCAGAACTTGAAGTTTTTGGTTAAATACATTCAGATGTGTTACAGATAGTGCTTAAATTGCGTGAGATCTGCCTGGTATTGGTGGGAAAAATAAGCCTGGATGAATAGGCTATAGGAAATGGGGAAGGTGGTGTTTCTTACCTACCTTTCTGTTACTGTATCATCTTATTTTTTAAATTTAGACAGTGTCTCCCTGTAGACCAGACTGGCTTAGAACTCATACATCATCATACCTTCCTAGCTTATTTTATATCATAACTTATTCCTTGATTTGATACAGTGTAGGTAAATAATTGATGGTTACATATGCAAAAGAGGCAAGTTCCAGGTCTGCCAGGGCTCCACAGTGAGATTGCAAGTTGCAGGCCTTAAAAACAACACAATAGTGTGGGAAACCATGTCTTGTGTTTCTTTGCCCATCCTTGGTGCTAGGGATCAAATCCAGGACATTGTACATTTATGCTACATGCTTATACAAATGCTTTAACACACAGGTATTTAAGGTTTTTCAAGTCAGGGTTTCTCTGTAGTCCTCCTGGCTATCTTAGAACTCAGATCTGCCTGGTGCATGAGCCATCCTTCCTTCCTAGTTTAAGGAAGTCAGGAAATACTACATTCTCAAATTGGCTTTATATAAACTTTGTGTTGTCAGGGAGAGAGAAACACCTCCTCGTTTTGCTCAGCATGGCACATTTGAGTATGAATATTCTCAAAGATGGAAGTCATTGGATGAAATGGAAAAACAGCAAAGGGAACAAGTTGAAAAAAACATGAAGGATGCGAAAGATAAATTGGAAAGTGAAATGGAAGATGCCTACCATGAGCATCAAGCAAATCTTTTGCGCCAAGGTGAAAAAAAACCCTCAAGAGTTTTACTAATAATGATCAGTCTGGTGTGTGTGTGTCCAGAGCCTCGTGAACATGAACCTAAAAATACTAATTCCGTTGTTTAGATCTGATGAGACGCCAGGAAGAATTGAGGCGCATGGAAGAACTTCACAGTCAAGAAATGCAGAAACGGAAAGAAATGCAGTTGAGGTATAGTGTTAAATTCAGCCTTTACTTCCACCTTATAGACAAGATGTGCAAGTTTGCATTAGGAAAGCTCATTTTTGCCAGCATGCTGCTGTCTGTAGTCATGTAGACTATGAAGGTTATAGTTTACACTTTGTAAGCCAAACCACCACTACTAGTGTTTTCAAATAGTTTGAAACAAGGTGTTGGTGTATGGCACTAGCTGGCCCTTTAAATTTGAGATCCTTTCACATACAAACTCTAAGGATATAGATGACACTTAGGTTTATACGCATAAAATTTGTAGGCAAGAGGAGGAACGACGTAGAAGAGAGGAAGAGATGATGATTCGCCAAAGAGAGATGGAAGAACAAATGAGACGCCAGCGAGAAGAAAGTTACAGCAGGATGGGCTACATGGACCCAGTAAGTTCTGTGTTAGTGGAGCCTGTAGGTACTGATTAGCATAAAATGTACTCATTGTAAATGTATCTCTTTCAGTACAGCTGTCTTTCTTTATGTGGTTCTTAACCATAACCGATCTCACTGGATCAAATGTCATGGAGGCTTTTGTTTGGTTGGTTTTGTTGTTATTTTTCTTTTGTGTAACAGCTCTGGCCTCTACCAACATGCAGAGGTCTGCCCACCTGCCTTGGCCTCCTGGTGCTGGGATTAAAAAAGCATGTGCCACACCATGGAATCTTCATGGAGGTTTTGTTTTCTCTTTTTGAGAGTATAGCCAGTTTTCAGAACACTTGAATACCAATAAAATAGAAAAACATGTTTTTTGAACTTAGAATTGTTTTCTGGGTTTGTTCCTTGTTTTTTTTGTTTGTTTGTTTGTTTTGAGGCAAGGTCTTGCTATGTATTCTTGGCTGGCCTGGATTCTCTTATGTACACTAGGTTGGTGTCAAGCAGTGGTCTGCCTCTCTGTGTCTCCCAAGTGCTGGAAATACAAGTGTGTCCAACCAAGCCTGGATAAACTCCTTGTGTTGAACTTTTCTTTGTATGTGAGTGCTTGTATGTTTCATGTATAAGTAAGTTTATTTTTCTAATTTCCCTCCCCCCAGAGAGAGAGAGACATGAGAATGGGCGGTGGTACAATGAACATGGGAGGTAAGTGAGAGTTCAATTAAAGGCATCAACACAAAGCACAGTATCCGTTGGTTGTAACCACTATCTTTGTTTCCTAGATCCCTATGGTTCAGGAGGCCAGAAATTCCCACCTCTAGGTGGTGGTGGTGGCATAGGTTATGAAGCCAACCCTGGAGTCCCACCAGCAACCATGAGTGGCTCCATGATGGGAAGCGACATGGTAATGTATCCTGTGGGACATAGTACAAAGGAAATCCTTAATTTCATGACTTGAGTGGTTTTTTTTTCCCTTCTCTCTTTCTCTCTTTTTAAAGTAGCTGACTGGACTTTTAGTTCCCCCATCTTGTAAATATGTGTAATACTGAGGACTACTTTGGCAATGTAGATCTATGTGTGGTGACCTAAACAGATCTGGTTGCCAACAAGGAGTCAACGCTGCTGTATGTGGAGTTATCTTTGGCAATAAGTAGATAGGTATTTTCCATTTTATTGTCTGCACTTTTGAACCTCCAGTGCATGGCAAATCCAAATTTTAGATGTTAGGTAATTGTAATTGTGTATGGTTTTTCTTCGTCCAAGTGAGAGAAATGGCATAGTGCCATTCTTCCGAGCTGGTATTTGCCATAAGTAGGAATCAGACTCATGGCTTGTAACCTTAAGCATGTTAGAGTGGCAGGTAGGACTTTGACCTATAATGGCTGTGGTTTCTATTTCTAGCCCATGAAAAAGAACTGTCTAGTGTTTTGACTCGTCGTTTCCCACCTGTTGGGTCTCTCTGTAGGTACATCTGAAATAAACTTGATTCTACTTTGCTACAGGGTAGCAAAACTCTATTTAAGCATACAGATGTGTGCATTTGTTCTGAACCCCCGATACAATCATGCTTTTATCTATATGAGATAGCCTGTCAGGTGCTTGATAATAGTAAAGTGAATTTTGCTATGAGTGGCTGTAGTAGGGCTTTACAGATCCTTAGGAACTGCATTTTGGTGGGAATAACATTTTTGTATCTAAATTGAATCTAAATAATTCACATATAGGCTTTTGTCACAAAGGAGCTGCATTTTGTAGCTCATAAGATTTATTTTCTACATAGGAATTCATAGTTTTAGTGAGACCTCATTTAAAACCTGTCTAAGGTTTCTGGAAATTTTAATTTAGCATTATAAATGGTTGGATTTAGTGCTGTTAGGTTTCATCAAATTGCACTTAAAATTAACATTTTGGTTTTACATACTTTCTAGAAGACACAAGGTATATATATCAAATTTGTTAACTAGTTTGACATGTGTTCTTTAGGTTCTGTGTCTAGACACAGGTTTATACATTGAATAAATCTCCTAAGTCCTTAGCTATTGTAATATAACTCTGAAACCTCAATAAAACTTTTTAGCTCTTGTAGAAGACATACTGTTTTGAAGATTTTTCAAGAGTAAAAGATTCAGAGTAGTCTATTTGAGTATTCCTGTAGTGTTTTAAGTTGAAATTATAGGGACAGCCTGGTGTCATCTTTATTTTTATTTATTTTGAGTAATGACCAGTAACTGGGTTATTTTGAGTAGAATTTTAAGTGGAATGTCTGTAGGGTTCTGCTGTTAGGATATGTGGGTTTTATTTTACTTGTGTTTTAAAGTGACAGTACCTAAAACTATGATTGAGTAGTCACCCAAGTTTGGTAATAGGCTGTTATGGGAGATAACCTAAAACGTGGAATCATAACAAAGTGATAGTGCACTTTCCAAACTAAGAGAAAGTTGGACTTTTGAAGTAGGTGGGCTTGTGTATTGTGTTTGTAACAATGCAGAAACATACTGTGCATGTAAGTGTCTCTGGTTTATAGTGATGGCTCTGAAGTGTGGAATGCCTGTGAGACTGTGGCAACATGAGTTTTTGATCAAGTTACTGTGCCGGTTAAGTAAAAATCTATTAGTTTTTTGTGCTTTTTCTTTTTGTAGTCTGGTAGCATTTTATTAAGCTTCATCCCAACCTTTTTAAGATTTCTGCAATTTTGCAGATGTGTGTTAAGATCTTGAAAAGCACAAGGTTTCTTATGCAGCACATGCCACTAACTGGTGAGTAGGTCTTTGTCATTTCATTGAGTTGACTTTTGTCTGATTGGGCTTGTTAGGCTTGGAGATCATTTTCTGTTCATACCTGGACAAGTGTTTCAGTGGATTAATCTGATGTGAATTTCTTAGAACTCATTTTGGAATGGGTTTTCACATCTGCACTAATTCTTAAATTTTTTAGCACTACAGGGAAGATCTATTCTTTGAAACAGGTGTATGAGAATGGCTCAAGTGGGAACATACCACAAGGCATGTATTATCGTAAACTAATTTTCAAATTACCCTTTTTTCCTTTCTATGTTCCCGGTACCTGTGGATCGACTCATTGGTGATTGTATCGACGAACGTTGACTACGGAACCTTCTAAAATATTTACTTAACACACATGGACATCAACTACATTTAATGAACTGTTAATTTACTGTTCCAATAGCGTACTGAGCGCTTTGGGCAGGGAGGTGCGGGTCCTGTGGGTGGACAGGGTCCTAGAGGAATGGGGCCTGGAACTCCAGCAGGGTATGGTAGAGGAAGAGAAGAGTATGAAGGGCCAAACAAAAAACCCCGATTTTAGATATCTAGGCTTTCATTCCAGTTTGTTTTTGTCTTTTCTTGTTTAGATACCACTTTTAAATTCTTGCATTTTAGTAAGAAAGCTACCTTTTTATGGATGTTAGCAGTTTATTGACCTGATATTTGTAAATGGTCTGTTTGGGCAGGTAAAATTATGTAACGCAGTGTTCGAAACAGGAGAAAAAAATTTCTTTTTATTTACTTTTTTTTTTTAACTGTATAATGTTTCTCAAGTTAATGGCAGTGTACGTTGTGCCACTGAATTTCCAAAGTGTACCATTTTTTTTTACTGTGCTTCGAATAAATAGAAAAATAGTTATAATACTGATCTTCAACTTTGCCATTCATGCTTCTATGCACATTAGGCTAGGTATTCCACTTGGAAAGCATGAGCGTGTCTAGGCCTTTGAGTGGCATATGCCATTTCTGGGAAATGTATCTGGAGGCTAAGTATTGCTTTCTACAAATGACACCCCTCCTCCCCATTTAAAAGAAAAATGCATATTGAAATAGTTAGGATTTGTTTGGCACTATAGGAAGCAAGCTGGTGATAAGCATTTTTAAATGGTTATGTTAGAAAAGTTGAACTGTTAATCTTAATTCAGGAACATGTATTAAGATTATGGAATGGGTATAAACTACTGGTAGTGAGAGAAAGGGGGTGGTTAAAGGATCCTTTATGGCCCTATCTATGATCCTTTCCTTGAAAGCTTTTGAAAATGGAAAGATCATCTTGTTGCATTTCCCCTATTGTTTTGTTTTAAACAAATGAATCCCAAGCCCTACAATCGGCTTGTACTGAACTTTTGCATTTGAATTAAAGATTGTTAAACATGAAGCCTTTTCATGTATTACTTTAAGTGATTTAAAAGATGGGATTTAGTCTGAAGTTTCAAGTTGAGAAGAGTTAAGAGTTAGTTAATGATAAATAAGGTAGATTTAGCCTTATGTTCTCTTTAGCATACACCTCCTTGTGCTACTTGTATTGATCAAAATCTGTAGTCTGAAAAGTCTATTGGTTCTCTTTAAGACCTAGTGATGACTGTTACCAAGTAGGCCTGCCAATAACCATTCTCACTATGGAGTTGACCTGTTTTTATAGCATTCTTTTTTAACGCAGCACTAAACCGGGAGAGAGTTGCTCAGGCTATATAGTATAAATACTTTTGCCTCCCACTGTAAGCTTGGGGGTGTTTTGATGTTAGTTGATTGTCAACTTCATTGAATTTCCTTTCATTAGAACAAGAGACTTTCTGACTTGATAATAATAAAGTAGATTGTTTACTGTTGCCTATGAGTATAATGGGAGCTTGATTTCCCCCCTCCATGTAAATATGTTAAAGAGGAAAACCTTGTTACAGTATGTAAAGTAAGAATGGCTTGGCTCTGTTTTTAGTTACATTTCCATTCAAGTCTATACATTATAGAACTTTCACTATGGAATGTCTTCATCCTTTTCACCTCTATCCTTGGTGCTAATTGGCAAAAGAAATTCTAAATCACTTGGCTGAGATTGAGGTTGAGTATTGTGCTTGAGTACAAAAGTAGACCTCTTGTGGAAACAATTGAGTGCTTCATGAATAGGAAAATAATCGTAATTTAAAAAAAAAACAGGCATAGATTGTAAGAAGCATGTCACCAAATGGTTTTATAACTGACAGGTATATGGTGCATTAAGGGGGAAAAAAAACTCCTTAAAAAATACATTCATTTTTCTTCACCAGTACACTTGGAAGTAGGTAGTTCCATCATAATTTTAGCAATCAGAAAGCTTTGGCCCAAGTGAAGTTAATAATTGGTGATTCATGGAGGTTTTCTGTACTGAAACAAAGGTCTGGATTTGAAAGGAGCTTATTTGGTTGAATTGTATAGTAGGGACCATTATACAATGAGAAAATTGAGGAGTGTTTATGGGACACCCATGGAGGGTGAATGAATGTGGGTGGGGGCTGGAGGGGAAATGGGAAAAATCTGCCTATAAAATTAATGTTTCAGTTTATTTTTCAGATTACATGCCTTTCTTTATAAGGGATGCTGGCACAGACTCCTAAAATAAGCTTTTGGTGGTAGTATACTTTTGAAGAGAGCTGAAGGATGCTTAAAAGATAGTTTCCTGAGAATTGTGCCTTTTGATAGCCTTCATTGTGGGCTGTAGAGTTGCTAACTGTGTTTAGCAGATAAGGTTGCATAGTGTCAACCAACATTGACTTTGGTCAGTGTACCAAGGGTTGTAAGCTACTGAGACTTTCAATAAGTCTTACATGTGATTGTTTTAGTGAATTTTAAATCATATTGAGCAGTTGAAACAAAAGCTAAAAAGGAAACTTAGGGTTGGGAGGGGAAGATACAGGATGTGTTTCAGACATTTTTTCATAGAGGAAATCACCTGCCCCTATTTCGTTCACTTCCTCAAAAATTTGTTTATAGGGTACACTTACAAAATGCTCTCCTTTTAAAGTTTCATTCTCTAAGACAGTAATACATATTTAACAGGCATGCTATAAGCTGAACCCATTGACATACATTATGTGGTGAGACCATATTCTTTTGTTCCTAGAACATTACATTCCGAAGTACTTCAAAACCCACCACTCTTATGTGTGTTGTACCACTAATATAAGCAGATAATCTGGGAAAATTGTAATGTTACACCTGTGCAGTTTTTCACAAGTGGCATATCATGGCAGATAAAAATTTAGGTACTTGGCTTGGGCAAGCCACAAAGTTGTGGTGGAATGTTTTGTGGTGTTCTTGGACTGCAATTGTGCACTATTAAAGTAGTGGCCTGCTACATAACTGCATTTAGCCAGCATTTCTGCAGTGCGTAACTGTGAGGAACGTAGTACCGCAAATGGCAATGGACATTAGGACCCGGATGTAGTATTCCTGCTTGCTCCAAGATTCTCATTGCCGACTGCATACAGGTAGGTAACAAGCAATATAATCTAACTTGGTGACTTGCTATGTGCTTTTATTCAGTGGGCATTCTGACATCACACTTCTGACAGTGAAATTACAGTGCAGCACCTGATACTTGTATGATAAGCTAGGTTAATTCAAAATCTGGGTCTGGGGTTAGATCTGTAATATGTTAGGAAGAATTCAGTGTTGTTGGAGATCTCAGAAAATGCAAACTCTTGTGTGTCTTGGAAGTTTTGTGGTTTTCTTTAGTTACACATGTAACTGAAGATAAAATGGAACACATCTGGTGGTTGGGAGGGAACAAACCATACTTAACGTGGGGTGCTCATAGCACCTTGATGAAGACTGTAGTATGTGATACTTAGTCTCCTTAATAGTAAACTTGACCTCTCATCGGTCAGCAATGTCTAACTTCATTATGCAATCTTGAGAATTGTTTTGCAAAATGAGTGATTTAAAACTAAATGACACAGGGTGGGGTTGTTTTTTTTCTGGGATTTGTTTTTATTTCTATTTGTAATGTGATCAAATTTTTCCGGGTATGGGCTTCAAGGGAACACTTTTGTTACTGATTTGGGCTTACTTAAATGGGAATCTTACAAATAGTTCAAGTTATGTGGCTTGTCTGAGTATGTTTATACTCTAAACTTGGGGGAACGTAGTGTGAAACACTGACTTCCTACAGTTGAAAGCATTGGGAATCATTCCCCACCATAAGACTTCGTCGTATCTGTAGAATGAGTGCATTTGTTCAGAGTAGCTCTTTGAACTTTGTTCCCTAGTTTTAGGGATGTGATTGATTACAATTCAAAAATGTTTAGTAATCACAGGAAAGATGAGCATTCAGAGCATTTTCCTTTGTTTGCTTTCTTCCTATCAACTGTTCCAGACCTCAGTTCAGTTTAACCTTATCATTTAGGTAGCATGCATGAGAAAACAGCTTCACTCATAATGCTTTCTGCTCTGTAACTGGAAAGTTTGGTTCATTCTGCATACGTGCCGCTGAAAACTAGGACTGTGAGAATTCTCTTTCACTGTATCAAGGAAAATGGCTTGCTTTTGGTCAGGCAAGTCAGATGGTGGGGCAGATTTGTATTTACTCCAAGCAAACAACTGTGATTACTGATTGATGAAAGCAATGGTGACTTAGCTCCTTATATGCTACAAATCATACAGTGTGACATGAGTATCACTAACCTGCCTAGAACCCTGATGGGGGCATTGCAGTGTCATAGTCTATTAAATCGGTAGTACATGCTTGCTACCGTGGCTCAGTTAGCAATTTTGAGTATTAACAAGAGCTCAGGCTTATTTCTTCTGGACAATAACAACTTGCAGAGAATATACTTGATATAACATGTGGGCTTAGGGAACTGGGGTGGGGTTATTTTTTTCCCATTCATTGGTCTGCTTTAAGATGAGGCTCTTGTACTTCAGAATGAGAAACCATTGACTTCAGTAGACTTCTGCTAGTTCAATTTGTATGCAGGCGTAAGTTGTGAATCTTAGAGTATATCGGGGTTTTAAAACACTCAAAAAAGCTGGGAATTAAATGGGTTCCAGTAATACTATATACTGAGGTGCTCGCATTGTATTTCATAATCTTGTTGCAACCAAAATAATTAGTTTTTAAATAAAACCCTAAGTTCAGAGGTGTGATGCCAGAATGTATTATCGTACTGTTAGGCCCTTGGAGCAGATCCCGGTGCTTTCAGAAAGATGAAAGAGATGCAATGGGAGCTCTTGATACAAGGCTGCTTGCAGCCGACCAGCAATGCATACTCTCACTCTCTAATGAAGAGATGCGTGTGATTAGTTTTGGACTTTAACGTTAATGGGGGTGCATGTGTCCTATTGTTAATCATTGTCAGCTGCAGTGACATGATCCACAGTCCTGCATTTACTGCTGCCTTTGTGTTAATGATTTTGGATAGGTTTTAGAGCTCTGGGGTGTTTGTTCTGGGCCTTTTCTTTGGTTTTGGCTTTAGCTGATAATGTTCAGTGCTGTCTAGCTAGTGCAGTTCTCACTCAAATGGCTCCCTACTAGGGAGAGAATCCTGAGGATTTAACTGCTCCTTATCTGTCATTGCTGCTAGATAATGATTGGCAATTTTTTAGATGCAAATGTGGAAATCTCAACAGTTATTGGCAAACAACCAACCATAAAAATAATGTTTTTTGAACACCAGTGCTGGAGAAAAAAAAATGAAGGTGAAAAGGGCCTGGACATAGAATAGGGACAATTAGAGAATGGGGAAAGAATGCAAAACGATATAGTATCCCTTATGGATGGTCCATGTGCAACAGAGAACTATTCTTATATCTGCGGCAGTAATAATCCAGGGAGGAAGAAAAACCTGGAACTTGAATTTAAGGCTGAGCTTTCTGTTTCTTGTGTACTGTGCCAGGTATATAGTGAAGGCCATTGACTTATCCCTCAGAAAAACTTTCCTTGCTGTTCCAATAAGGCATAGCTTCCCTGCCCTAACTTTAAAACACAGTGAGGACTTGGAGGACAAGGTTTGAGGCAAATACATAATAGGATTGCAGGGTAAAGAACTGCAGTGTTGTGTGCTGTGGGAAAAGGGTCAAAGCACTCCTGGGGTTCATTCTACCTAAGAATGAAAGACACAACGAATTGACTGGGAAGCAAGGCATGTTGAATAGAGCTAGCCTAGTAAGGTCAACGTTGTCACATACCTTCACATAAGGGATAGTATATTTTGGGTTGCAGTCAAACTTCATTGTGTTCAGACTGGTGAAAATAGAAAAGAGGCTTTTGCATTTTGAAGAAGATAGTTTTCATTCTAATTCTGTCATCTACATACTACTTACATAAAGAATAATTTTAGATTTCCCCCCATAAAGTTTCTTCCTTTTTTTTTTTTTTTTTTTTTTAAATGCTACAACTTATTCCAGTCTTTAATCTCTGGAATTTTGCTCTTTTAAATTTGGAAGTTAACTAGCATTTTTCAAGCCTTTATCTTACACCCTTGTCTTTCATATTAACTTTTTCTTATTATTCTTTAGGTGAGAGTGATTGATGTTGGCTGATTCTTGGAGTCTTTATTTGAAGTAAGTGTCCTTAGAAATGGGGGATTTATCTTTGGCTTGATGCTGAAAATTCTTTGATTCTTGAAAAATGCAAGAAGATATAATTTTAGCTTTTTTGAGTATTAGTGGAAGGTTAGGAATTGTCTTGATTCTTAGTACCTCCATGGTAGCACACAAAACACAAACATTAAGAACAGTTTTATGCTGGGTGGTGGTGGGCACACCTTTAATCCCAGCACGTGGGAGGAAGAGGCAGGCAGATCTCTGAGTTTGAGGCTAGCCTAGTCTACAGAGCTAGTTCCAGGACATCCAG